TGAGAGATGATGAAAATAACACAGGATAGGGCAGTGTTCCGATCCATTGTTTACAGGGTTGCTATAAGTCATAGTTGTCTCCACAGTACATAACAGCAACACAGTGGCAGAGATATTGAAGCTTAACTACGCAGAAACGACTACTAAAGTAGGATATAAAACTACTCCCACTATCAGGAGCATAGCTTCCTAAATGTTCTAGGGGGAGCTGTGGTGGCCCGTGGTGGTCAGTCGAGAGTTAACATTGCTAACTTGTCTCTCGGGAAGTTCAGTTTTATCAGTGGTTCTCCAGGAGAAAGATGGACAATCTCCTCTCCTGTGCTTCAAAAACCCAATGGAGGATCAGTTCTATATCAGTTTAGGCTCAAAGATAATGACCTGAGTTGTTATTGAAGTCTATTAAGTTTGGTTTTCTTCTGTAATGTTATCGCACACTTTATGGTTATAACAACATGTATTTATTATCCTATAACATCAGATGTCAAAAGACTAGAGTGAATTGACAGGTAGATACTTCTACAGGCCCTAGAGAAGAATTCATTCTCTTACCTTTTCAAAATATAGTGGAGTAGTGAAAGACAAAGCCCTCATTTTGGAGTTGACCATTAGTTACAGTGTAGTCCCTGCCCTTAGCCCAGTGCCTTGACCCACTTATTTCCCAGCTCCACCCTCCAGCAGGACAGCAGGATACCACTTCACTTCTACCAAATGCTTTCAGAATTAATCTCCCGTTATCCAACCCATGACCTGACAGCTTGTATCTGATGCTTTCTTTTCTCCTGTGATTCCAACCACGTCAGATGCTGAGAGGTTTGTTGTTGTTGTTGTTGTTGTTGTTGTTGTTGTTTTTTCTGTGTCCAGTGTCTCTTAAGTTTACTTGTACTGTCTCCTAAGGGAAGGTGATGTGTCCTGTAGAACTCCTGTATAGATTGTGTTTTTCCCTCCGTCTCTCCCTTGCTCCTCCCAACCAGTTTTGGCTCAGCCTTGGGGCTTGGTACCTCTGAACACTAAAAATGTACTTTACTTGTGTATCAAATTGCCTTTGGAATTTTCTTAGATATTTAACAGAAACTAATATTATTTTGTGTCATGGCGAGGTTGTGTACCCATATAGTCAGAACCAACCCATAGTCCAGTGAATTTTCATAGGCAGTTAACAGCATGAGAGGAAATTGCCCATCCTTCTCACAGTGGAGCAGCTGGTGGCCTCAAACCACGTGCATTTGGGATTGCAGCACAGCTACTTGCCACTAGGCCACCAGAGTTCATTGGAAGCATGGATTCTGAAGCTTTGTCTGACATACATTGGACATGTTGCAAGGCAGAACTAGTCCTTATGGAGTGGTGTCATGCTTGAGAGGTTGGAGGGACAACGCAAGAGAGGTAGACCCTCGCTGAGATGGACTGATTCAGTGATTGGAGTAATGGAAGTAGGAGTGTCAGAGACAATAAGATTGGCACAGGATAAAGCAGACTTTAGGGCTGTTGTATATAGGGTCATTGCTAGGTTTGTGAGGTCTGTCTATGCTGATGCATGTTATTGTAGATTTTTAATTCACATTCCTAATAATGTTTCCATCATTTATCTTTTACTTAGCTGGTGGGTATTTGTGTTGTTGTTTGTTGTTGAGTTGAAACCAACCGATAGCTGACCAGAAGATATTCAGAGGCAGTTAGTTGCATGGGAGGAAATTGCCCATCTGTCTTTCACAGAGCAGCTGGTGGATTCAAACCATACGCCTTCGGAATTGCAATGCAGCTTCTTACTATTAGACCACCAGAGCTCTGAAGTCATTGAAACTGTTTAAATTATTAGCTATTAAAATAATTTTTCTATTAATATGCTTTTAACTTATAACAAAAAACCAATCCGTACACACACACACACTCATAGAGAATGCATTTTTCTGCTTTTGTTACATACTTATTTTTCAAAATTTACAAATATAAATATGCCTTGTATTTACTCAATATGTATGTATTGTACAAATAAAAGAGAAATAATTCAGCCATTTATATCCAGTGTTAAAAATAAATGTCTCTTATTGAATAATTGCTCTATGTCAGGCACTATGACAAATGCTGATTTATTATTTAGTTTAATCCTTATGACAACTCTATGAGGCTAGTACTAGTATCGTCAATTTCTGGGTGAAGAAATAGAGACTTAGTTAAGTAACCAATACAAATTCACAAGGTCAGTTACCACCCTTCCTGGAACTGACATCCAAATCTGAAGAGCTCCACAGTATTTACTAAGACCCTCAATGATAATTTATCAGTCCTGGTGCCATAAAGACTTGCACTGTTAATCAAAAAGATTAACTCTTTAGCAGTTGGAATCCATCAGCTGCTCTGTAGGAGAAAGATAGACAACCTTCTCATGTGCAATTTACAGTCTCAGAAAACCTGCTGGAGGGTCACTCATGAGTTGGTTCTAACTTGATGGCAATGAATTTGAGTTTTGAGTTGTAACTCTATTACCGCAGATGTAGGAAAATATTATAATATTATGACCTCTTTTTATCAAAATTATGACATAAAAACGTAAAGGTGTTCTATGGGGCAAAAGGAATAATTGTGTCTCTTAGAACATACTGAATAAATATAGCCAGATTGTAATTTTTTTAAATAATCATTATATTTGATATGTATTTGCAATTAGAATATTTTGTGAACAATGTAACATTAATAGTTTATGTTCCATTTTTACTACCATAATTTTTCTCTTTATTTTTTCATTAATAGACTGGTATTACCAAGGTTGTATGTGTGCAACCAAGAATACTGTTCATTCGCTGTCCTCAAGGTATAAAAAGTTTGAAGAAGGCTGTTCTTCATAATGTGGGACAAAACCATGCTTACTTCAAGATAATAAAGAATGTTAGTAGTTTCTTCTATCAATCAGATCATATTATGAACTGCCTTTTTAATCACAAATACTATTTATTACTAGAGTCTTTATAAATGGATTTATGCTCATTTTTAGATATTTCTAATGAGGCTTATCTGAATACACCTTATCGTTATCATTTTCCATAAGAATATTTTCCTTTGTTTCTTTGGTCTCCTTTCTTTTCCTTTCTTTGAACTTGTTGCACTCATTCCTGCCTTTTATTTTATTTACTTGTGAAAGAGATGTTTGCAATAGCAAAATTAAATCTCATAAATACATTGATTTGTTGTTAATATGACACCCCATATTTCGTAATGCGATCATGAAAGCTATTCTGAAGACTGCAGAAGGATATTCTAATTAGGGTTTTTATTACTTATTTAAATGGGAATGAAGTGGAAATTGAGTGTTATTTTTTGGTTGAGGTTTTTGGTTTGTTGGTTTTGGTTTTTTTTGTTTTTTTTTTTTGCTTTACCGGAAAAAGAAAGCAAAAGCCACCTAAGTGATGGCAGTAGAATTTTGAAATTTTTTAAAAATCATATTTTAATTTTGTCTGTTATTTTCTACAGAAATCATCTCTTTGATGTAAGTAAATGGGACATCCTTCATTTTCTATTGCTTCTGAATTAATTCTCACCTTGGTAGTCTGTTTAGTCCTCTACTCTAAAATATATTGAACTCTTTAAATTATACTTGGTCCAAATATAGCTGATGAATCTATATGCTTTGTAATCTTTCACAATAGAAAGTGTTTCTATAAAGGAAAAAAACGACATCAAAAATCCTTGGTAAATTACTTACACTTTTTTTGAAGGTTAAAAATGATATCCTAGACTTTGTGCTTTTATTAAGGAAATAGTAAAGACTAGGACATTAGTCTTATCTAAAATTTGTCATCTTCTCTAACAAATATCTCTGGTCCTTAAAAGTTTTGTAAGGTCTTAAAATCACACCGTAGGCAACATTATCAGATTTTCATTGGAAAGTGTCACTACTGAAGGTTCTATTTGCTAGATTAGAATTACAACGAATAGATGAAGCTAAAACTCTATGTGTATGTCTTGAGTTGACAATCTATTATAAAATCATCTCATAGCCTGGGCTCTGTGTTCTCTCTTTAGGTTGTAGTTTGGAAGCATTCCTTTGAACACATTAAAACAGTAATTTTTAAAGAATAATGCAACATTTCTGCACATTTTCTCTTGCAGGCTTCTGAAAAGGGTCTTCAACCTATCATTGATATTGTTCCATCACAAGGAGTAATCCCAGTGGGGGAAATCACTATTCTTAAGATCTTCTGTACACCTACTGCGCCAAAAAAATTTGAAACAAATGCAAAGGTATATCTATACATGTGCATATTTGTCATATATATATATAATTTGATTAAGGTATTTGTAAATATACATTCATAAAGGATATTAAATTATGTATGCATTTTCCCTAGAATACTTGTTTTAAATATTATCCCCCCAGACATAATATATTTAAATGTTAGAGTTAAATGTTTCCCTATATTATTCCTCATTATTCCATAGCAATTGATGCTAAAATAATATATAGTTTAATATATACTTACATGCCTGATACTCAAGTAAACAATCTAAGACTTGTATTTAACTTTTATAAAGAAATGTGCAGTGAAATAAAAAGTAAACCTAAATATTGTACTCTATGTGCCATAGGGGTGTCAAACATCATAATGGTTACCCATCATGGGCAGTGTTTTGTGGCGCTCCCAGATTGATTCAGGTTTCAAAGCATGAGTGACATGACTTCCTAAATCACATGTCTCTGGAAACTCTCTGAATATAGAGAAATGATGATAGTTATAGAACACGGTTCAGGTCTTTTGTTCATAGAGTCACTATAAGTCATACTCAACTCGACGGCACGTAACAACAACAATGTCTGACAATAGGCCTGCAATTTTAAAAAAGTGTTATTTGTACTTCCTATCATAGTCTTTCTCTCATATCTCTTCACTCCATATATCTTCTCCCAGGAAGATACAGGGAACTTTGGTGGCTTCGTGATAAGGGGTTGTGTCACCAACTTGAAGGCATGCACTTCAAATCTACCATATGTTCCATGAAAATACATATTGTATCTTCCAATGTTCTAGAAAAATATAAAATAAAAATTTTGTTAAAAATGTAACTTCCACTGTGTTTTAAATAGCTGTGCTGATTTTTCAAAATTTGCCACTCCTATGCCATTTGGATCTGACAGCTTATATCTGAAGCTTCCTTGCCTTCCGTGATTCCAAATATGTTGGCTTCAGACAGTGGGGGACAATGGGAGATGGATGTTGAAAGGAGTGGGTAGAAGTCGATGGGTATCTTGCCTGGTGCAGGGAACTAAGTGGGTAAAGACACACATGCCAAGGAGAGGGACAACACTGATATGAATGGTTAACTCTACAATAAGGATATCTTTCACTTTTCTATAAAATGCTTGTCTGTCAGATACTTCTGTACATTCAGATTAAGACAGACTAGGAAGAAGGATTGGCCATCCACTTCTGAAATAGCAGGCCTCCGAAAACCCTATGTACAACAGAACACTTGTAGATAACAGAAAGGGCAACTGAGGGTGAGCTTTCAGGTATGGAAATACAAAGGAAGAGGAACAGTTGTAATCAGACACTAATGATTGAGACATGGAATGTGAGAACCATGAATGCAGGAAAATTAGATATTGTTAAGGAAGAAATGGAACGCATAAATATTGACATACTAGGCAGTGGGGAGATGAGATGGACTGGCATGGGGCATTTTGAGTTGGCTGATCATATGATATATTACTCTGGAGATGAAAAGGTGAGGAAAAATGGAGTTGCTTTATAGTTAAGAAAGCCATTGCTAGATTCATCTTGAAGTACAATATTGTGAGTGATGGGATAATATCCATATGCATACAAGGAAGGCCAGTTAATACCACTATCATTCAGATATATGCACCAACAACCAGAGCCAAGGAAGAGGAGATACCAACTTTTACAGTCGGAGATCGATCGAACGTGCAATCAAGATGCACTGATAATAATGAGTGACTGGAATGCAAAAGTGGGGAATAGAGAAGAAGATTCAGTATCTGGAAAACATGGACAGAAATGAAGCTGAAGAGAGGATGATTGAATTTTGCACAATCAATGACTTATCCATTGCCAATACGTTTTTTAAGAGACATAAACACAGTTTATATACATGGACTTGACCTGATGGTATGCATAGGAATCAGATTGAGTACATCTGCAGAAAGAACCACTGGAGAAGCTCAGTATCAGCTGTGAAAACTAAGCCAGGAGCTGATTGTGGAACAGACCACCAACTACTCATGTGCAAGTTCAAGCTAAAACTGAGTCCTAGTCCACGGGAACCAAAATATGACTTTGAGTCTATCCCACCTGAACTTCAGAACCATCTCAGGAACAGGTCTGAGGTCTTGAACACTAGTGAGCAAAGACCAGATGAGTTGTGGGAGGATATCAAGGATATCATCCAAGAAGAATGCAAACGTTCATTACAAAGAGAAGAGGAAGAAAAGACCAAAATGGATGTCAGAAGAGACTCTGAAAATTGCACTGGAGTGCAGAGAAGCCAAAGACAGGGAAGAATTCAAGATATTAAAGAGTTGAATAGAAGATTTCAAAAGGCATCATGGGACAACAAAGTAAAATATTACGATGAAATGTGTAAGGAGTTGGGAGTCAGAAAATCAAAAGGGCCGAACTTGCTCAGCATTTATTAAGCTCAAGGAACTGAAGAACAAATTCAAACCTCGACTTGCTACAATCAAGAATGCTTTTGGCAGAATGTTAAATGATACAGGAAGTATTAAAAGAAGATGGAAAGAATATACTGAGTAACTGTATCAAAAGGAATTGGCAGACACAGAAGAATTTCATGAAACAACATATGAGCAAGAGCCTATGGTGAAGAACGAAGACGTTGAAGCTGCTTTGAAGGAAATAGCAAAAAGTAAGGTTCCAGGAATAGATGGTATACCAATTGACATATTTCAGCTAACAGATGCTGCCCTGGACGTGTTCACCAAGTTGTGCCAAGAAATCTGGAGAACAACCACCTGGCCAACTGACTGGAAGAGACCTATATTTGTTCCCATCCCAAAGAAGGGTGTCCCAACAGAGTGTGAAAACTATAGAACAATCTCATTGATTTCACATGCAAGCAAAATTCTACTGAACATTATCCAAAAATGACTGGACAGCACATCAGCAGAGAACTGCCAGAAGTCCAGGCTGGATTTAGATGGTGTCGTGGTACTAGGGATATTGTAGCTAATGTTATATGGATCTTAGCTGAAAGCAGGAGTTACCAGAGGAATGCCTATCTGTGTTTCATTGACTATGCAAAGGCGTTTTACTGTGTGGATCATAACAAACTGTGGCTGACTCTGAGAAGAATGGGAATCCCAGAACACTTGATCGTGCTAATGAGAAACCTGTAATTGACCAAGAGGCAGTCATCAGAACAGAGCAAGGGAACACTGCATGGTTCAAAATTGGGAAGGGCGTAGGCCAGGGTTGTGTCCTGTCTCCATACCTTTTCAACTTGTATGCAGAACAGATTATCCAGGAGGCTGGGCTTTATGAGGAGAAATGTGGGGTCAAGATTGGTGGAAGATCTATCAACAATCTGTGACATGCAGATGATACAACCCTGCTTGCCGAAACTGAGGAGGACCTGAAGCTCTTGCTGCAGAGGGTCAAGTACTGCAGCCTCCAATATGGATTGAGGCTCAACGTCAAGAAGACAAAGATTCCACTGGGCCAATTGGCAGCATTAGGATGGATGGTGAAGAGATTGAGATTGTTCACAGCTTCAGCTTGCTTGGCTCCACAGTCAACACTCTCCGCACCAGCAGCCAGGAAATTAGAAGATGTATTG